AGAGGCGTCGTATAGTACATCCCAATTTTCTTCTTCTCAGCGTTATATCGTACCCCCATGCCGACATGGTTATTACAGCCAAGGCACCAGATATTAAATGGCATTTCAAACCTAAAAATAAGGAGGTTCGAAATAGCCCATGGCAAAAATTTTTTGAAGAGGATGCTGAAAAATTGGCAACCAAGACAAACCTTATAACGAGAATTCCTTGCGAGATTTTCTTTGCTCGCTCGCGTAATGCATGAGTTCCATGGTAATGATTTAAGCTTTTATGCTTCTTGTAGTCAAAATCCGGCGGATAGTAGAAATTCTGACCTTTTCGTTCTCCCATAGTTGAACCTGCAGTAGGACAGTTAATCGATTTCCAAAGGTTAAATGCAGGGTAATGTCAAAACAACATGATCAGCGATATCGTATGGCACAAAACATATGCATCGAAATTACACTAACATTCTGTAATAATAAATCTTCATTTGCCTAAGAGATGACAATGAGCAATCTGTGAAGTTCGACAAACAACATTCAAGTAAACCCGTAAAATTATTCAAGGACAGTTAAAACTCTTGAAATTTACAACAGAGCAAAAGTGTTGTGTTCCTTATATACAAAACCTACTTGTCACAATATTAACCGCTCAAGTAGAAGAGGTTCAAAGCAATATGGATACTGCACATCTGGGATATACGACCAATGATACCTCAGTGACACCTTAGCGTTCACCTTCTGCACACTTAGATGCGACACTAGATTCTTATTATGCTTAAAAACATCTAAACTAAACCTGTACTTTAGTGGGTTTCAAAACTTAGCCTAACCACCTACAACCCCAAACCGTGCGCTTCGACATCGTCAAACAATCTTTTATCTTGCGCAACTATTTTCTCCCAATCAGCTTTGGATAATTTGCTCTTTTCTGTCCTGGTATGCCAAACATAGACTCGTGTACAATTCACTGCCTTTGGTTCCAAATCACTTCTCTTGAGGCCCAAACCCGTCAAGAAGTGTGATTCCTAGAAAAGAAGCTATCAAACTGTTGGCACAAAAAACGACATTTCTTTACCTGGTAACCTCTTGGCACATCGTAAGAGAAAAGCGCTTCCGACTTTGCAATAATTAAAGTTAAATTTACTGCAAATGCAGCCATGTCAATAGGAAATGGACGCTCAGGTTTCCAAAGAGCATTGAATCCGACCACAGAACCTGAGCTTACACATCGATAATTTCAAAAAAGACACACTCGTCCAGCTGCACCCACCATTTTCAGCTAGCGAAGGCTTCTCCGCCACTAGACCGCCTACGATCCCGACAGGCCATATCCCAACTTTGCGTATTGATCGGATTTCATCAAACAACCGTAAATCATAGGTGTTATCGTCGTCACCAAAATAAACTGCTCCAGTTTTTGCTCTTGAAAGTTGGGTCCTCAAAATGA